TTTACTTATGTTAGTGAAATAGCGTAAGTTATTTCATTTACCCTTTTCCAGGCCCGGAACTGCAGTTAGGCACTTCGTTTGCCCTCCTGATGGTATCCGTACCCTTATTTCAACAACTGCCACTAGAATATAACATAATGTAATTAACTACTTTACTCATTTTATTTACTAAAATAGATAAATTAGGTTCGGACAAACGAGCTTCGGACAATCGGGGCGCCCCCTACTCACATTACCCCCCTCCCCCTCCTTCACACGAAGGGAAGTACATTCAAGAAACGTAAATAAACAGTGAAAAATCTGGTCAATACCGATTTTACCTACCCAAATTTAACATAGGATTTTAATCAGAATTTTAGGATGAACAGCGACGCTTTTTGATATGCCACATATGGCACTCACATTTTATTGTTATAAGAATACTGTTGAGCGCGCTACCTGGGGCTACCTCACCTCAAGTCTCAGATGAAGGCCTTGGCGACAGCTCCAGATTCATCCAGTTGCACGAGGCGACTGCCGATCGCAGCGCCAGAGCAGAGTCGGGTCGGCTGCCAGAAATGGAGCTGAGCGTAGCAAGGAAAGCTGATTGAAATAACTCGGAGTTATTTCAATTACGTCTATGTGGTTTTAAAAACTCGTATGGTCGTACTGACGATGGAACAATACAGTTGCCCCTATATTCACCACACGTTTCAGCCAGTAGGTGTTCTGTTCTTTCGTCAGACGGACCATTGTCTGATTTTTAGATTACGGTGTCTTGTGTTCTAGATTAGCAAGCCGAGCAAATGCTTGATGGCTTTTAGCTAGAAAGTGAAAACAGTAAAAGGAGAAAAGAGTAAAAAGTAAGTACAATGTATGTATAACTGCTCTATAATTAAGATTTTTGTACAGAGCTGATTCAAATTGTGGCATGTTCAATAAAACAGTTAATAATGAAAAAATTGTAAACGATGTGAAAATACTAGGACGATTAATAAGCGCGCTCTCCGCGCTCTCTTCTCTGCCGTCCCCAATCTTGTCCACGGCGGTCGTAGTTCTGCCTGTCGCGGAAGTCTCTGCCTTGATTGCCACCACGGTTGAAGAAACCTGTACCGACAAATAGAGGTTGAATAACAACAAACTACAGACACGATATTTTCATATACACTGTTTTCAAAAAATTTACCTTGTTTGGTTTCAAATACACGCTCATTGTAGTCAACAAGGCTATTAACCTTGTCAGTGAGTTGCAGAGCGAGCGACTGTAGTCTACTGGGCTCACTACGATGCATGACAACTGTGTGTGTAGGATCATCTAGTGAGGCCTGCAAATAAAAAAAAAATCAATATTACTACTTCTGCTCTTTGCAAAGGACTCAGGGCGCTACACAGTGGAATAGTCAAAATTACCATAAGTTCTTCATTGATAATCATTTTGCTGATAATAGAATGAACCACACTTGGTTCAAGCTCAAAAGTAGTAGCCAATGTAGCCATGGAAATTGAGTCATATACATGGGAATAAGTGAACAGATAGGTTCTGAGTGCTTCTTCTCTAATTAATTTTGTCAACATTGTTCGCACATCATCAGCCTGGTAAAATAGATCCCAGACCTGAATGGGATGAAAAAAATGTTAACAAACCAACCACATATACAGCTAGTAAAGAGGATCAAACTGACAAAGAGGAATATTATACCTTTGCATTCATCTTCTCATTGATGATAAAGTTTCTGCATGCCAACCAATTACCATTACGCATAGCCTTGGAGGCAGCTACAACATGCTCACGCATTGATTCAGGAGGCCCAAGAAGTGACTGCCTCTCACTTGACCTTAATTGCTGATAGAATGTCTTAGAAATCATACGACGACGTGCATCAAACTCATGCTCTGAAAAAGATTCAATCATGAAGCTCATGTAATTCACCCTCAACCCCCCAAAAAATATAATACCCACCAGCCATGTAGGGAATTTCAATGAGCATAGCAGACACCATGTAAACACATTCTAACAACTCTAAGTTTATGTGCATGTGGAATGGCATTTGACGCTGCTTTTCAACCTTCTCCTGTTCCTTAGTGCGATCATTTTGTCTCTGGCAAAAGAATAGTTTCAAGTTAACTCTTTTAGAACCAACAGTTTTAAGGAATTACTGAAAAACAAAAAAAAACCAAAGAAACTTACTGTTGGCAATAAACCTTGAGCAAGCAGCTCTTTCATTTTACCAGTCATCATAAGATCTACTAAACAATTGTGAGCATCTTTGATGTTGGCATGACGGAAAGCACACAAGCCTAGATGAGCCATGGTTCTGTTGTAAAGAATCTATGGAAATTGAAAAAAATAAGAACAATGCAATGACATACATTAAAAGAAAATAAAAAATAAATAATAAAAATTAGTAATAATAATAATAATTTTATTTTTGATTAAATGAATACCTGAGTAGGAGGGTCAGCATGTTGAATGTTCTCCTGAAGGTGGGACATCAAAATAAGATCTCGTGCTTGGAACCAGTTATCATGTAAAGCATGATGGTAAACATGAGAGAGGATAGCACGAGTACGAAGACGATCGGATTGATCCTTGTCATAGATGAACTTGCATAGTTTGTCCATGATTTGAACACCTGTCACAGTGTCAGCAGGCACTAAACCTTGCTTCTGCTGGAGAACTTGAGGGTCGAATTTGTAATACAGATGCTCAATTTTTCTCATGTAGATACGGCAAAGCTCAGCATCAATATCAGTTTGACTTTCAAGATATTCTTGAACTTTATCTATGATACTCGACACTCGTTTTTCATCTTTTAACCTACCAAATAGAAATGCATTTATCAATGAGCACTTCAAAAACCAACATATATTTAATGCAGTCTTAGTCTTACCTCTCCACATATTCATTTGAATGAGGGTCACATTCTTTCAAGAGCTTAGTAAATTCCTCATCAAGCCTCTCCATTACAGTGAGAACACACCCACGAAGTTGATAAGGAGGTGACTCATAATTTTCATTGTCTTCCAGAATACTTTCATTGATGATTACATTTTTGGCATTAATAAGCCTATCCATCATGTCAATTATCTGCTCCAAAAGCCTGTTAAAAGAGATTCAATAAAATTAATGACACAAGGACACACCTATAACAGTGCATAAGATGTTAATTTACTGTTTATCATCCATTAGTCCATGAGATGCAAGCAATATTATCTTAATAGGAAACTTATCTACATGTTCTTAAGAGAAGGAGAAAATACTTACTTAGCCCAATATTCTGGCTTCATAGCATCAGAGACCTTTGGATTGTAATCAAAAATGGAGGACACTATGGCAAACTTAATTTTGATAGAAACAGCAGAGCCAAGGTTGTGTTGTTCAGAAACAATCAGCAGCTCGTGAAGCAGCTCAATCTGTTCACGGCGATCGGTACGTTTCTTTCCACGAGCAGCAACAATTTCATTTAACTTCTTGACAACCAGATCAATATTAATTTCTGCATCTTTAGCAAACATTTTTGGCTTTTCCTGGATAGAATTAAAGAACATAAAAGAATTAGATCTCAATTAATCTAGGCAGTAAAATATGACTTAAAGAATTGAGCTTACAGAGGGAATAGCAACTCCGCCTTTGACTGTTTCCCACTCTCCCTCGCCATCAGAGTCCTCCTCCTTCCTTTTAGGTTTAGATTTCTTACGATCCTCCTTTCGGTCCTTCTTCTCTTTCTTTTCATCATCATCTTTATCTGTGGCTCTGCGGAAAGACACAAATTAAGAAATTAAATGGTGACAAAGTAAATGTCGACTTTCCTTCAGTTTTCAAGCATATTTAATATAGAAAAAAGAATGAAAATCTTCACACAGTACTTACTTTTTCAAGAACCGTTCTCGAACACTGGTGTACTGAGACTCATCCTCACTACTATCAGAGCTGCTTTCAGAGTCACTACCCCAGTAGGAATCAGAACTTCCATCATCATCATCGTCTCCTCCGGTTGCCTTTTTCTGCACCAATTCAGAAGAAATTTAGTGTAACACAAGTGAAACAAATACATTAAAAAAATAAAAATAAAACAAATTTACACACCTTAGGTTCAGGAACTGGTTCAACACTTGGTTTCTTTGACACAACCGGATGGCTATCTTCATCATCAGATGAGTCATCATCTTGATCTAAACCAGTAAAGATATACGGTGAAAAAAAGAAATTTTCAGATTTGTTTGAGATGTGATGAATAAGAAAACTCACCTTTCTCCTCTTCCTCCTCCTCATCAGCCTGATCTGGGTTAGCACGAAATTTGGTAATTTCTTCTTCAAAATCTTTGTTGTACTTCCTCATTTTTTGCCTCAGTGAAGTCAAAGACTTTGAATTATTTTTGGACATGTTTTTCCTGTAATTATTAATAAAAACGTTTAAAAGCTAAATTTTACTATGCAACCTGGATGAAAGGAAAATGATAGGAAATGTAACATACCTCCCCTCTCTATCTTCCCAGACTTCATTGACAAAATCCTCCACCTCAACAAGGCATCGAAGATAAAAGCGAGGTGTGACACCATTTTCTTCTTTGGATATCACAGGTAAAGCCTTGGTGTAAGCACGCATCAAATCCTCAAAGCCTTAAACAAAGTCATTAAAATAAATAAAACAACATTAGGCAAATCATTTTTTCCAATGTACAAAAGGTGAACATACTTGAAAGAAGGCTGCTCATGTCCTTGATTTTCTTATAATTCCTGATCTGCTTGATGAGATTAGTAATTTCCTCATAACGTTTCTCCTTAGCAGATCGGACAACTCGCTTAGTATCTTCTTCCTCATCGCTGAACTAGAAAATTGATTCAAAATTCATAAAATGGTAAGACACAAAAATATATTTTGTGAGAAAAAGAGTTACTGCTAGATTGTAAGAAGTTTCCTGAGATGTTACTCAAATTAATACTTTACTTACGGTAAAAGTTGCAGTGGGCTGACGAATAATCTGCTCCTCTTCAGAAGAGCTATCAGAATCCGAGTCTGAACCAGTAGCGAAGAAACGACTCATGGTTGAGGGAGGGCCGTCAGACCCTTGTCAAACCTGACCGAACAAGAGCAGATGTTGTGAAATTTCAGTTTCAACATATTACAAAATATAAAAATGAATTAACAAATGGATGTGAGAACGAAATCCGAGATGTATAATTCCGTAAAGAGGTGGCGAGCGGATGCGAGATTTCACAGAAATTGACAAAGCTAGCTTTATGGTTCTGACAAGTAGGATCCTAACCTAATGTACCGGCTGGTACAATAATAACATGATTACAGAACGAACAATGAGTAAGGGATAACTGGTTTGGATCTTCCCATAAAGGATGAAAGGAGAAAATTCTTGCACGAAGAAAATCAAATTCTAAGAGGTTTGAAAAACAATAAGCAATAATAGACATAGTTTTAGAGGTTAGTAGCCATGCCGTGCAAAGTATACGATAAGAAACACACATCGAACAGGTTCAAACACTCCAACACGTAAAAACTAGTACTGCGAACTACAGACAAGCCCAGCGTATGACCGGTAAGTTTCCAATTTAAACGGTAGAGGAATTATCCGAATTACCCGCAAATTTACACGCGTACCTTTTCTAAGCAAAGGAGTAGAAGACCAACCAACGCCTTTTAGAAAATACACTAACCAAAAGCGATACATGTTGCCACAACAAAAAAGTTAAAAGTTTAATGTGACTGGGGAATTTCAAACTTTACGATGTGTTCATTAAAACAATCTTTATACGTAGGAAAAATAATGCTAAAATTGGTCATACTGTTGCTATTTTATATCTACCCATGATAAATGCCAGTCGGAATGTATGGCAGCACACAGGAAGATTCATCAGGTGGATAAGGTGTGTGGCGGTTCTATTTGCTTGAGAACGGATGGAACAAGGTGAACGAGCGGAACGAGAACGAGCCGTTTAAGCTTATTTTTCAAGATCTAGGACGATCACCTTAACTCAAGATACATGTGAGAACATTTAATTCATTCTTTTCCTTTCATGTAATTGGACGAGTATTCTGAAAAAAGAAAGTTTTTCTCAGATATTAGAAGATACGTACGGTGTTGCGACAAGGGAAAATGAATATTCATAACTGTGATCGGCTTTGATTTGTCAATAAGGGAAAAGAAAAATGCATGACAGATCTAAAAATTTATTTTATTCTTAAAATAAAAGTAATAAAGATCATTATTCAATGTAAAACGGTGGAAATCATGATGCACTCCTTCAGAAATCTATGAAGTATAATAATGGCACAGAGAAATCGTCTCCTGACAAAGGTGAGAATTTTCAAATACAAATAACAACTGATGTTCAAAATGCACAATCTCATTAATGGTTCAGTTAGAACATCAAACAATTTGCATATAGGTGGGAAAAAAAAATTGATTTGTAGCAGGCAATATTTTGGCACATCCCTTAAGAGTGTGTTGATCATTGGAACATTGTGTGAAATTTAGGTTCCCATGACCATCTCAACATTCGAACAAATTAATTTTAAACAAAAGAATAAGAGGCATTCTGAGAACAGTCTACGTGCTGCTCAGGCCTGTTGTTTGGTCAGTTCGTGCATACAATTCTTTTAATCCAAATACTCTGTACCTTTGAAGTAATCATTCTTTGGTGTAGCAAAGTCCATAAGTTCTTTGACATTTGGCCGAAGGAATGCAATGGAATGGAAACATATAACATGTCGTTAGAATGCAAACAAAGTATGCAAATCAAAGAGAGCAACAATTGGCTAAAGTTTATCACTGCCATGTCAAACATTATTTAAATAAATATACAATTAAAGCATATTTTTGTATCTGGGTGGCAGGTTGTTACTGCTCTCTTGATAAGTACCTTGGTATTGAAAAGACCATAGTACAGTTGTACAATTAGAAAAATACATACACGCAGGAATAACTATGATGGTTGTCACAGCTTCATTTCTAAAGGAAAAACAAGAGCATCTTAACAACCTTATCAGTGCATATAATGTAAACTTGAAATAATCTTACTATCACTGTAACAAATTTAATAACTTAATTTGATATAACACATTATACAAAAGAATCTTCAATAGAAATGTCAATATCATGTCTGAGTTTAACATATTCTGTTCAGGGGAAATGTGACATTTTATTAACATATATACAGAATATGTGATTTTATTAAAAAGTGCCACATAACATAATTTCATGTACTTCTTAAACAACAAGATTAATTTAACATTTTTTACTCAGATATCTGCGTAGAAAACAAGTGCTGTCTTATGTTTACTTTATCTTAGTTTTATATTAAGTCATTTTTACAACTGGATTTTAAATCATGTGATACCCCAAGTATGAAGATAATTTTCTTAAATCATCCTCTAATGTTAAATTAAGAAAAGAGATGAAAGATTGAAGGTTCAAGTAGCTGCTACCTAGGTAGCAACTGAAGCTTCAGTGCAAAATGGAAATGACTATATCTCAAATGTAATGTGTCTGGAGGGTTCCGAGTCTCTTTCGTGAACAAATACTAAAGTTGGCTTTTTGGTATTTTTTCTGGCTTACTGCAATTACATCAACAGCCAATAAGACAGAGAAGATGGAGAGTGTGAGGGAGAAAGAGAGAAGAGGGTAAATTATTTAAAAGAAAAAAGCAGATACTCTTTTAACAGTCAAAAGCCTTATGCAAGTTTTAAGTAACTCTTTCAAGTCTTTTCAATCTTCTTAATTCGGAAAAAAAGGAGGATGTAAACCACAATATAAAGACGTACACTTGTTAAGAATATTTAAAGAAGATTTAAGTTTCCTACCCTGTTTATCCTACATTATTAAGTGTGCAAGGTCAACTAAACATTAGCAACCTCACTAATTGATTTTATTTTTTACGAATGTGGCATTAATTAATTAAGAACAACAGAACAGAATGTATTGCATGTGGTATGAGGCCAATGGCTCATGCCTGCACGAGCTATCTCCACATCAAAACATCTTCCTGATCAACTTTGGACTGTTGCATTACGCATATGGCACTGATCTCATTCTTGATGGTGATTCTCTCTTCTCTTTAGGCTTATTACACATAAGATAATAGTACACAAAAATTTTGTTATGATGAAATAATGAAATTTTGATAGAATCACATTCTTTCAACAGAACATATTACAGTTAAACTTTTATTGACTCTGCTGTCCAATAAGTATACTGTTCTGGAGTGATTACCAATGTCATCTTAGAAATCACATGATAAATTGGTCACCAAATAAAATTAAACTATCACTGAAATTAATTTAAAAGGAACAATCACAAAGATGGAATATTTCGTATCACTCTCACATGTGCGTTAGCTCACACTCCATGGGAATATTAATTGTTAAAGAATAAGATATGGTCGATTTCTTCAAATGCAAAGTTATTGCTTCCTAACTTTTTGAATGTTATTGTTTTCTTAACTACCCTGGAATGGTAATTTTCAATAACTACATAAAATGGAAAAGAAGAAAAATCATACCCATCTTTCTCTTACAATGATGACCATGAAAAGTGCAGTGAGCTTCAAAAGATAGGTGGGTATCAGTTAAATATTAACTAGCAGCATCTCTGAACCCAACAGAGACCTGTACATCGTAGAAAACAATACAAAAACGAGTTAGGTAACATAAAGGCCATTATTTTAACGCACTTTGTACAAAATTCATTAGGTTGACGTCCCTGCTCTTTCCCAAGTGCAGCTAGACAAAATTCGCTAGCCACACAAAAACGAGAAACAAAATAATTTTCTGGGTGTGCTTTATCTGTCTAAACACACACATCCCGACGAAAATATGGAAAAAGGGAAAAAATAAACATTATTGTTTTATAGACGTAAATTCGAAAAGAGGTCCGTTTGGCCAAGGCTAACCAAGGGTTAGGCACCAGGCTGCATCACTAACTAGAAGTTGTCCGCGCGTCCAGAGTGGAGACCAAAACAAGCACCACTAATGAGTCCCCGACGAATATCAGGGCTACAGTGACGACCGCGCGGACAGGTCTCAGCACTCAAAGATCCGGGGGCGGCGGAGGTGGAGGGGGCGGCGGGGCGAGTACACCCTGAGAGATGGTGGACACCGCCGCCTCCACCGCCGCCCCCGTAGTCGACAAGGGCCCCGGCGGCGAGCTCGTAGTGTCGGCAGTCGAGGCGGCGGGAGAACATCCGGACCCGGGGCTCGCCATCTGCAACGTGAACTCGTCGCGAATCTGGAAGTGATGATGGTGGATGTGCGCGGCGGTAGCGGCGGGGGCGGAGCTCGGGGCGGCGGGAGGGGCGGGGGCGACGGACGGCGTGTGGCCGCGGACGAGGTGCCCCAGCCCGCGCACCAGGCTGGACGGGAAGGACGAGTGCGTTAGGTGGGACGTGGAGCGGCTCGTCAGCCTCTGCAGCACGCCCGGCTCCCGGGTCGGCTGCTCGCGGTGCTCCTCCAGCGAGCGAGCGTTTAGCAGCTGCTGCTTGCGCGGCGACGGCCTCTGCACCTGCGCGCCGGCCCTGCCCGCCGCTGGGCTCATGGTCGCGCTTGTGGTCGCGCTGGCGGTGGTGGTGGACACGTCCGCCCCGACGCGGTGCAGGGCGTTCTCCAGGCTAGCCGACGCGCCGCTGCTGCCGCTCCGCGCCAGGGCGGCCCCGTGCGCGACGCCGTGCGCGGCCCCCACGCCGCCCTGGCTGCCGTTGGAGCGCGACAGGAGGCTGTGCTGGCGGAAGCTGCGCCGCCGGTGCAGGGCCGAGGCCGACGTGGACGGCAGCTGCGGCGTCGCGCCGGTGTCGCTCTCCTCGAGGCTGAGGCCGCGCCGCAGCCGCACGGACTGGCCGTGGTGCAGCAGGTGGGCGGCGAGGGCGGGGTGCGGGTAGTGCGCCGGGGCCGTGGCCCTGCGCAGCGCCGTGCTCGAGGTCAGCATGCGCTCCAGCAGGTCCAGCTGCGAGTTGCTCAGGTCGTCTAACGTGCACGTGTTGTCGTTGACGGCCTGCTCCAACACGCGGACCTCCTCCTGCAACCGGCTCTGCTCCTCTCGCCGCTCCAGCTCGCGCGCCAGCATCTGCACCTCCCAGTCACCCTGGTGGCCGCGGAACTGGAGTTCGTCGTCATCGTCGTCGTCATCCTCCGCGCGCGGGTAGATGTCCCCTGCGGATCAAATGACGGCTTAGCGCCTGCAGTGGCGGGGGTAGGCCGACCCGCCCGACACAAATGTGCCACGGGCCAGTCCACCTCACAGGCGCTCAAGAGGAAACCCCGATCTCACCTTCCTCGTCGAACTCGTCCTCCTCGTTGCTATCCGAGGTGCCGATGTTGAGCACGACGGAGTCCGCCCCGGGTTTCCCACCGTTCACGTTGGACCACACGGCCTGGGGACTCATGGAGGGCGGAAGGTCCTGCAGTTCCATGTGCTCCTCCTCCGAATGGTCCTCCCACGACCTAAGGAGAGCAGGAAGGGAAGAGGGGTTACGCCCACGCCGTCGTTGCGTAAGGTAGACTATATTCAATTATTTTGGGACAATGTCTCTTTGAGTCCAAAAGCAGTATTGATATTAATGTTTGTATAGACGACATGCATTGCCTGCCAAGCCCACTCACCTGCGGTACTGCAGCTGCCTGGCGGACGCCCGCCGGCTGTTGGCGTGCTGTCGAGGCTCGTTGTCGCCCTCGTCCGTCGAGGTCTCCGTGTCCAGATGGTAGCGGCCCGCCCGCGAGGACCTCCGCGAGCCGCACACGTTGGCGTTGTTGTCGTCATCCTCGTCGTCGTCCTCGCCACGGGGACGGCCGCGCCGGCCCGCCTCGTCCATCTCCTCGTCGTCCTCCTCGTCCTCTTCCTCGTCCTCAGCCTCCTCCTGGTCCTCGCCCGGCGGCGACCTCGGCGGCGAGAAGAGCACCGTGTCGACCGAGTCGCCCCGCTGCGGACAGGACAGAGGCGGTCAGCTGCGCGAGGACACCCGGACGCCAGCAGGGGCCACTAGCGGCTATCGACACGGCGGGGATCTAGCTGCTAGAGGCGAAGCGACAACGCTGCGCGCGCGACTTCAACAAGGCATGGCTAAAGCACTTCTCTAGGGCGGGAGGCGGACGAGAGTCAACGACACTGAACGGGAGTCTCGCCACTCACCATGAATGGAGGGTCAGGGACGTCATAGTCATCCGGTGCGTCCCGAAGGTGGGGGTTCTATCAAAAGAAAGCCACGGCCGGGTTCAGACACCTTGAAACTGCCAATCGGGTTGGGTCAGCTCGAGGGACTCGCGGCTGAGCATGGCCGAGGACACTCACCTCCAGCTCCTGGATGCGGTGCTGCAGCTTGGCTATGATGTCGTCCCTCTTCTTCACCTCCAGCTCCAGACTGCGGCACTGCGACTGGAAGCCTCTCTGCAAGTCCTCCTTCAAATCAGGAGTGAAGTGAGATTTAGCTGAGTGGACGCGATCGTTTATGGCTAGTGATTCAAACATTCTTTTGGACCTACCATATGACCTTGGATGACGTGCTTGATGCCCACGAGGATGTCGGAGAAGTACTCATCCTCGCGGTAAGACCTGAGGAAAGTCTCCGGACGGAAAAAGTTCTTCTGGTTGGTCTGCTTGCCCTCATGAACAATAAAGGGCATCTGCTTCCGCTCGTCGGGGTTGGCGTCGGGCGGAGGGGAGGGCTTTGTGACGGGGCACGGTGCAGGTCGGGGTGCGGGCTGGTGTGGGGGCGGCGCGGGAGCGGCGGCCGGGGGTGGCAACTGGCCAGCCGACGGCGCTGTCGTCATTGTGGCGGTGGAGGTGGTCAGTGTCGCCGCAGGTTCACTTTCACTTTCGGACTCACTGGCTGGTAAAGGGGCCGACAGACTGTCTAAGGGGGAGGTGGCCTCCGCCACGGCCAGAGGCGGGACGGGGGCCGGGGTTGCACTGGGGGCGGCACTGGGGGCGGCGCTGGGGACAGGGCCCGCCTGCGCCACCACGCTGCTGCTGATCAGCACCTGCGTCCGAACGGGGCTGCTCATCGACACTAAGGTGGCGGACACTACGGTGATGTGGTCGGGAGCAGCGCCGAAGGCGGGGGCGGCACTGGGGGCGGGGGCGCTGCCCTCGGGGGGCGGCGCGGGTGGGAGCGGGGGATCACAGGGGGCGGCGGCGGCTGCAGCAGTGGCTGCGGCGGCCTCGCTTTGAGCAGGAGAATCACAGCTAGATTGAACCTTGTTCACCGTCCTGTCCGGACTGGGGAAGAAGGCGGAGGTGGAAGTCTTTGGCCCGGGCGCCGAGGACGCCGTCGTGGCGGGCAGGGTTGGAGTGGTGGCACTCGAGGGCGGCGACTGAAGCGTGTCGCGGTTAAAGGTGACGCTCTTGGACAGCTTGCTATGCCGCGCGGCGTAGCCCTCGAGGGTGGGCGCGCGCATCAGTCTCCTGATGTCCGCCGGCGGCACGGTCACGGGGGCGGCCGGGGCGGAGGTCGTGGTGGGGGCAGTCGCTGCCGCGGTCGTCGGGGTGGTGCCAGCCGCCGCGGCCCCAGCGGCGGATTGCTGCGGGTCAAACAGCGAGCTGGACGACAGCTTCTTGAGGATGCTTTTGAGGTGCCGCCTCTCCACGGTCTCGTTGCTCTCGGGCGATGCCACCCCCAGCACGCCAGTGGGCGCGGGCGGCAGCGGCCCCCCGCCCGCCGACAGCTCCGTGGGCCTGGGCGGGAAGGCGGGGCTGGTCGGGCCGCCGCGCTGCCTGTGCCTGGCGCGGGCGTGCTCCATGGCGCAGGTCTCCGAGTGGCTGCGCGTCAGGCACTGCGGCTCGTCGTCCTCCACGCCCCCGGAGTCCAGGCTCGTGCTCCGGACGTTGGCCTCCAGCTCGGCCAACTTTTGCCGCTCGTTGAGGATCTTCAGCCGCTTGACAAAGGGCAGCCCGCAGTACTCCGGCGACAGGTCGTCGATGGACTTGTACAGCTTGGAGCCCGGATGGAACCGCAGCAGGTTGGGCTTTTTGCTGGCGGGTGTGGGCGAGACGGTGGAGGTGATCGCGGCCCCGACGGTGGGCAGAGGCACGGGCACGGCGATGCTGCCCATGGTGGGTTCGGCGGCGGGGGCCACCTCGTGGGCCGGGACGGGCACGGTCTCCTCGTCCTCCTCCTCCTCGCCCACGTTGCTAAGGCACGGTCCGGACAACCCCAAAGGTTTGAGCGTGGCTGGGGCCGGGACTCTGCGGCCAAGAAGGGACTGCTGCTGAGCGGGCTCCTCGGCGGGTACGCTCTTGGGTGCAGAGGGGGCGGTAGTGGTGAAGGTCGTAGTGACGATGGCCGGCGCTGCGGTGGCCTCGGACTTGGAGGTGGTCGCGGTGGTGTCGCTGGCCGAGGCCTTGCCCTTTCCTGGCCGACTGCTGACTGTGGCTTTCCTGAGCAACCCCCACGTCTGTTTGGAGCGGGAGGTCTTGGTTGTGGCAGTGGTAGTCGTCGCCGTGGACGTGGTCGTGTGCAGGACGGTTTTGAGCTTCTCTTTGAGCGTAGTCTTGGGTGGAGCCGGAGCTGGCGCGGCAGTTGCTGGTGGCTCGTCGTGCTTGGAGGTCACCTTGGCGGTCGGCTTGTCGTCGCCTGCGTCATCCGACCCGAAAGAGGTGTTGACCGACGCGTGCCCCTTGATCGTCCCGGACGACGCGGACGGCGTGACCGAGGCCATGCTCGCCGTCACTGAGCTGTCCCCCTTCCTCTTGATGGACACAATCCTCTTGAGTATGGAAGACGCCTTCTTGCCGCCGCCCTGTCCGTCGTCCGAGTCGCCCGAGGAGGGAACGGCCGCGGCGGGCAGCCCCTCGGCGGGGAGGGTCTTGCTGATGCTGGAGCCCCGTGTGCGGCGGCGGCCCGGCGCAGCCTGCGCGGCGGGCGCCTCGGCAGCGTGGGTGCTGCGCTCAGCGACCTGCCGCTCCCGGTCCTCCTTGGCCTTGAGCAGGAGCAGCCGCTGCAGCAGCGGCAGCCCCGCGCCGATCACCTCCCGCGGCGGGCTGTCGTCCCGCGCGCCCTCGTGCTGCTGGCGCGTGGTCTTGAGCGTGCGCAGCTTCTGCAGCACCTGCCCCTCGGCCTCGCGCTGCTCCTCGCGCGCCGCCGACGCTGCCACCCCAGCCGCGGCCGCGGCCGCAGCTGCTGCCGCCGCCGCGCTCGACGTGGCCTCGGCCGCGGCCTCGCGGTCCTGCTTGGCCTTGAGCATGAGCAGGCGCTGGATGAGCGGCAGCCCCTCGCCGATCTTCTCGGTGGGCGCCTGCGGCTCCTCGGACGAGTCCTCGGCGGAGAAGTCGTCGCTGCGCACGCGTGGCATCCTGCGCAGCACGCCCTTGCCGCCCGGGCCGCCCTTGGTGAGGGGCAGCATCTCCATGCTGTCGTCCTCCATCCTGGCGAACACGTCGGGCGGGGTTAGAGACTTCCTTGTCCATCAACACGTCGAGAGATTTTATTTTTTCAAAAGAGTATTCTCGGGGTTAAAAGAAATTTCTTTTAATTGTTTCGTAAACACTTTCAAATCGTTTCAATTTTTCTGGCAAAATATGAAAACTTTTCAGATTTTCATTAAACTTTTAACATTTTTGACCCCACCCGCTACTGGCACTTACTTGTTGGTCCCGCGCCTCCCCTTCCGCAGGACGGTCTTGAAACCCTGCTTCACGTCACTGCGTATCCTTTCCACGATCCGCTTGCTCTTGGCGTCCGGGACCGTCTCGATCGGCGACCGAGGCTCCTTGATCACGGGGCCATGGTGGCGGGCTGGCGTGAAAAAGACGCCTCGTCAGCAACTGAGATAACTGCCTTACGGACATATGTCTACCTGTCTGACACTTTTTCTGACACCTGTCTGAAAAAAATAGTCTGACAGCTGACTGGTAGACGCCCAGCCGGGGACGACTCGACTCACCCGCGTCCTTCCTGCTGACGTGCCGCGCCTCCATCAGGCGCTTCCGGCCCAGGCTCTGGAGGATCTCCTGCGCCTCCGGGTAGTCCTTCATGGCGGCCAGCACGTCCTCCCGCGAGAGCGAGAAGAGCTCGGAGTAGCCCACCGACCGCACGTCCGCCGTGCGTCTGGGAAGTGGAGGACAGGGTGAGATTAGAGCGGCAGTGCCGGCAGTACCCCGCGCGGAGGAGTCCCCCGCGACCCAGCGGCGCCTTCGCGCGGGGTGTTTTCTGCGCTAACGGCGCTCGAGCGTCGTGACAAGCTTACTCACTTGTTTAGGCCGTCCAAGTTTAAAATGCCGATCTCGCCGAAAAAATCTCCAGCTTTCATTGTGGTGAGCACCCTACCCGTTTCACTGCATGGAAAAAGGGGATGCGCAATGGATTAGAAAGGATTGCGTCAACAGGAAAGCGAAGCGTGAGTGAAAGAAGGACGACGCGAACCTGATGACCTCCAGGATGCCGTCGGCAATGATGAACATCTCCCTCGCCACCTCGCCCTTGCGGCAGATCAGATCGCCCGGGGTGAAGATGTAGGCCTTCATCTTGAGGACGAGGTCGTGTAGGAACTCGGGCTGGCATTCCTGAAAGATGGTGACCTTCTTGAGCACGCTCAGGTTGACATGGAGAGCGAGCTCCGTCTTGAGCTTGTCCGGTAAAAGTCCCAAGGCAGTGTTGATGTCTCCTCCGCCCTGGATCCGCCCCCTGCAACCGAGTCATTGCCACGTTAATAACTTGGAGAGAGCAACACGGAAAAAAAAGGAATTATCTAAAATAGCTTATGTATTTTCTAATTTGACCTGAGCTCAAAATAAAAGCTAGCTTAGCAAACCATTAGCTAAGAGAGCTAACATATTATCCTTCACAACTAATTCCCTTTTCCCCTCGCTTTTTCCCTAAACAAACTTTTTAGCTCTCTCAGCTAATTATTGGCTCGGCGAGCTAATTTTCAGATCGAAAACCAAAATTAGGGAATGCATCACCTATTTTAGCTAATTATAATTTTTTTCGTGATGACTTAAGGACAGGCACATGTGAGATAAGAATGTGGAGAACTAACCTGGACCAAGAGTAGTCGTACCAACGCAACACCCGGCGCTTCATGCCTCCAGGTACCTTGTGATGCCTCATGTAAGTCTTGGCGCCGTCCAGCAGCCGCTCGAACTCCAGCCGGTTTGCGTTGCGGTTTGTGATCACGTTGCCCACTTGGCCTGGAATGTAAATAAACCCCATTTGAATATATTTCATATATTTTTTTTTGCAGTAGGAGCAAAGTTGCCTTTGCGTTGAATAAGGGGATGGAAAAGGATGCAAAAGGGCTCGGCGTGGTCCCTCGGACACCGGAAAAAAGAAACCCTTGCTTCTCTGGAATAAAACGTTTATCTTGTCAATAGAGCTTGAAACAATGTATAGCTTAGAAAATAATGTTTTTAGACCCCAGTTTAATTAACTTTTTGATCCGAGCAAACGTGCTCCTTTTTTCGTGCAATCACTAGGACTGTGTGGTCTGCCTGCCACGCAGCCTCCTCCGGGTCCAGGACTGAGGCCCCGCTCCTGCTCGGCCCAGAGCTTGTCAATCAGAAAATCGCAGTCCGAAAAAAAAGAGAAAGTCTTTGAGAACCGTTACTCGGCGAACCTTTCCAGCCGGCGGGACTTTCTCTTTCTCTTTCCGCAAACTTTTCTCCACCTTATTCCTTTGTAACGGACGCTGCCCATTAATTAACAAGTCTTTCGGCCAGGAGGAGCGGAACTAGTTCATCGGACAAAAGCAATACAACAGCCCAACATTCCTTCGACCGACTTCGACCAACCTAACCCAATGTCCTCTCCGAGCGGCGCATGTACAGACCTCGGTACACTGTAAACTGGTTGGCGTCGTATCAAACCAAAATTTTGGCGTTCTCTAAAGAAACGCCAAATCTTGGCGTTCGAAGACGCTAGCATTTGGCGTTCAAAGACGCAAATATTGGGCGTTATTAGAAAAATAACGTCAACCAGTTTGCAGTGTGTAGACACGCCGCAGAAATAACGCCGCATAAAGGGGGCGACAAAATGGGTGTCACGTCTGAAGCGACACAAGTTTTACGCGGGGGTAGAACTTTTCCCCACTTTGAGGTTGCCAGCATTGCCAGTGCGCTGGTTTGCGACCCCCCCTCCCAACCGACCCCGTTTGAGGTATGCAAAAAAACAAAAACAAAAAAAAAACCCTAGACACATGTTTTTTTTCTGTTTCTCCATTACCGCCGTTATATATATCGAAGAGTCGTTTCACTCACCTACGATGGTGGCGAAGATAAAGACGCCAATGAGGTAGCTGATTATCGTGAAGATGTACCTGCAGAGTGAAAGTGGATCGTCTTTTAACGGACCGAAGCGGACGGGTGCACAAAGTTTACTCCAATCTATAATTATTTTTTCACTACTCTTTTTACTTTGTTTTCAAAGTTACTTAATTGTTTTACAATGCATATTAGTGACGTAGAACACAAAGTTTTCGAACAGGGTCAGAAAACGCAAAGAAAAAAAAAAGGGTACAGGATTGAAGGCTGTTCGAAAACCTTGTTTCCGGCAAACACAATGTGGCGCGCGTTTTTGGTGGTGGAAAAAAAAGTAATGGGATGATAATTTGTCTCATGTTTGTACGAACAGCCTCCAAAACACCTGCGATAGACGTCCGACCACAACTAGCCGACCAAAGACCTTCAGAGGAGTGGAGTTGGCTGGGGTATGAGGTGAGGGACTCCTGAGGGCGACCGGACAGCGCAGCTTTTATGCTACGCGTTCTAAGACATTAAAATCTTAAAACGGGCGAGTCGATTATTGCTTTTCGCGGAAACACGTAGAAATATTTTCAACTACGACGAGAGATTTTTTTCCAGCACCGGACGGTTGTTCTACATTCGGACGTGAGTGAGCTGGACCCCTTGTCCCACACCCCACACCCACTCTCCTCTCCGAGACTCGAGCGGGGCAGAGGTGGAGAGGACAGCTCGGGGCTGGGCGGGGAATTTGTTTGTGACACAGGGGATTCGCCGGGTTCGCCCACTGCACGGAAGGTCGTTGGCCAAGCAGCCTCTCCTCGAAAACTTTGTGCCCGTCTGGTTGGTAGCTCCGCTGCCCGTTGGAGAGCGTCGCAATGCCGGGGCGGCTTCTTTAAGCCAATAGAACTCACTTTTGCTCCCTCTTTCAGTCGTCTTAATTTGTATTGGATTGAAGGTTCGTCCAAGTTGTTTTAATCTGCCATTATTCCAAAGCGGCATTTTTTCGACGTTCTTCGACGGGGCGCGCGCGCTTTTGTTCGATCTTTTCCTCTTTTTTGTTTTTTATTCTTTCGTCAAATATTTTTTTACTGACCCGGTATTGGTGTTGAATTGCAGGAGTCTGGATTTGTGGCCTCGCCGACGCATGTTTTGGGGGCCGTCCGAGAAAGACTTACGCAAACTACGCAACAAACACACACAACAAACACATGCGCGTCAGTGAGAAGCAGCAACAAAGGTCATGCATCTCGGCCGGTCTCTCTCTCTCCCACTATCCGCCCCCCCCCCACCTCTCTCTCTTCCGCTCCCCCTCCCTAGCTGTGCCCCTGCTAACTTTTGAGAGGAGACGGAGGCTTTATGGGATTGTTATAACCATAGAAAGTCAAATAGTTCTCATTTTAAAATGCAAATAACGGCACGAGCCTATTTCTTCAAACACCCAAAGTCAACCCCCCAGAAAAAAAAGGAAAAACAGTTGGTGGATAAAAAATGGTTGTGCACAGAGAAGATAACTCAGAAATACGAACCTTAGATTTAACGGAAATCCCGATCCCAGGAGTGCAATGGAGTTTTCACGTCAAGTAAGTTATCGAAATTGTCACATTGAAGAAATTGACTGTGAAAGCCAATTCCGTTAGTTCAAAGTCAAAATGTCTCCAATGTAAGACAGTTTCATCAATTTAAAGTCGAAATCCCATTCATCTCCTTGACACGGAATTTCTGATGAACCATAGGTACGTTTTTCTGGGTGTACAATAAGCGTGTATCATCAAAAACGCACACCAAACTCATCCCTGTGCAGCACACACCAACGCAAACCAACAGTGCCTGGATATAGCAAAACGAATTATTGTATATAGGCATATCATAATTTTTAATCTTTTATTTTTGGTTCTCCAGGAGGACTGCAATAGTGACTTTGGAACCATAGCAGCGATGTGCGACTGCTCATGCCTCGGCGGGCCGGGTCGGGGTGGGTGGCGGGTCAGGGTGGGGCAACGGGCCTCCTCACCGGCCGAAACCAAACAAGCGATACGGGCCCTCTTTGATTTACGGCGGTGACTCCTCTAATCTTGCGCGAAAGTAATGCGCGACGGCGCAATGCAATGGCGAGCTGCCGGGGAGCGAGGGCGGCGGGGGCGGCGGGGGCGGCGCGGCGGACTGCGGGCCGGACCGCCGAGCTGCCAAGCCAACCGAACCAAACGGCCAGCTTTGCCAGCCGTCCGCCCGCCCGCCCTGCGGCGCGGCGGGGGCGCGGCGGTATGGCGCAACCGAGCTGAAATTACGGTCCCTTGCCCTGGCCGAGTTATCCTCCTCCCCCTCCCCCTCTCCCCTTTAGCCCGGGGCGGGACCAGGGCCGCCGCCCGCCGCCTGCCCGCCGGCCCCGCTCCAAAGGCATTCATCTTGATTGGCAACAAGCAGAGCGGCGGCCTCCGCTACCTCCGCGATCTTTGTTTAAGGCGCCGCGTGGAATGAAGCGGAGCAGCAGCAGCAGAGCGGGGCTCTTGCCGCGCTCGACGCGCCTAATTTGGGCCGCGCTGCTAATCAAGAATAAGATTATCGCGAGCGCGTGGCCGCCGATCGACAGGCGGGACAAGTCGAGCAAACTCTGCTGTTTGCACCCCTCACGCCCCAACCCCGTCGCGTCAATCATATAAAACGAGTTCTCAGAATTCATTGCGACAAACTTACTTTGAATTGATCTGAGCAGCATTTTCTACGCAGGAAAGGCTACGACCCAGGAATGGATGTGTATAACCTCTGGGATATAGTACCGGATACCATCAAAAGTTTTTGTCTTCTATCGCGCCCCGCCACCACCACCACCTCCCGGAAAGTGGCCTGCTTGAAGCCAAGACCGTTATATGAGAATCCCCGCCCCGCTGCTGAGATCGAAAACTTGTCGATTCCACTACTTGTCCCTCGACGGCGTCCGTCCGTACCCCTCCCTCCCTCCCCCGAGGACCGTCCTCTCGATGCGATGCTCTTATTAGCTTGCATTCCAGGGCCGGGCAACGCCTCTGTAAGGCCGGGGTATAAGCCCTGCGCCGTACACGGCCGCCCCCTCCCCCCTCCGCCACCACCACGTTCAGCTCGAGCCAAATCCCGAGCCATATCCCCCTCAGACAAGACTAGGACCCGC